CCCATCAGTAATCAATTTAGAAAATACTGGTTTTATTTCCAATTTAAAACACTCTACACTCAGCAGTTCCCCTCTTTGCAGCTTTTCTGGGTTTTATAGTTTGTTTCCTCTTTTTTTTTTTCTTGGGAAGATTTCTGAAGTCATTTGTGGAGCTGCTGGTACTTCCTCAGTTGTTTTCTAACTGTTGTTAATTAAAAGACTTATTGAGCAAACAAGGTGAGGCAAGCCAACACATCCTTTTCAAGTTTATCTACTGGAATCTGGAGAGTCTGTAATTAAATGGAGAATGAGACTCTGACTGCAGACCTCAGGCTATAAATCAAAGCCTTCAGCTGTCAGATGCTTCTTCCTTTCTAATATTCCAGAGACACCTGTCTCAGGTGAAGAGCTAAAGAGGTACGAATTGCTCCAGGCTGGATAAAATAAGATTTTATCTTGCTGCACCAAAGACCTCCAGGAAAGATGTGTGGAGGTTGTTCAGGAGCAGGCTGAGCTCTTTCCTTTTAAAATATTTATTTATTTGTTTATTTATTTCTCCCCAGCACAAGTCATTACCTGTGAAACCAAGATGAGAGACAAATGCAGAGGCTCAACATGCAACAGGTAGTGTTTTATTGCTATTTCTTGGAGCGCTGTGGGAAAAAGTAATCTAAATATTGCTCAGTTGTTGCAAGCATAGGATGGGCTGTACTGTGTATTTTTTGTGACTATCAAGGTAGATCTACTAAACAAACCAAACAAAATCCCAACAAAAACCCAACAAAAAACATCCCCTAAATTTCTCCTCATGCAAGCCTTCAGCCAAGCCTGGCAATGAGGTGCTTTGGTTTATTTTATTCAGCCGTGATGACCCAGAGTTTCAGGTGGCCAAAATAATTCAGTAAATTTTGGCAGAGTCATTTTTTGAGCGTTTTTCATGCATTCCACTGCTGTCCAAGCCAGACCAATAATTCATGGCTTGTCCCCTCCCAGCCAGTCAAGAACTTCTGGTTAAGGTTTCTGCAAAGAACAGGACAGTTTATCACTTGGAGAAAAACCAAATCCACAGAATCTAAATATTGGGTCGGGCTCTCAAGGAGGGTGGAGAAACTGTTTTAAAAAGTAGCTATTTTGCAATTTTGTTTTTAAAATGGAAGAGTTACGTGAAATGAATGGAATGACTATTAAGTGGAGTCAAAGTCTGTTTTTCTTGAATTGTTTTTTGCCACCCTCAAAGATATATATCTTCACCAGGTATTTGTGCCCAGCTGGCTGCTTGTACAGCAAGGGAAAGATCTTTGGAACATTTTATTATGAAAGTGTAAGTACCTTTTAATAGCTCATGGATGTAACTTGTGGGGAGTTAGTGGTAATAACAGAAATGGGAAATGCCAACCATTCTAGTGTAATTTGGCTTTTCATATTCTCCACTTGTGGTGCTGTAAAATGGTGCTAATAAAGATTATCTGTATTTTCCTCATCTTAGTGATGAAATAAAAAGGAGTCTGGGAAAGCAAAGTGATTCCAGACATGATTTTATCGTGAGTTGTCCTTAATGTGGACACCCATGGAAAGTGAGGGATGGAGATCAACAGGCAGCTCTTACAAAGAGCTGTTCATTAGTGTGGGCAGCTTTTTATAAAAAACACTGTTAAATGCTGCAACTAAATAATATTTTGGGCTGATTTGCTGGATCTTGAGTTAGCAAGATAATTTATAAATAAAGCATGGCACCGTTTTCCCATTAAAACTACTTTTGGGGTGAATAAAGGTTTAAGATTAAAGTTTTTTTGTGTAAAATCTGATTTTCATTCCCCATTCCAACTGCTGGTGTGTGACTGCATCACCCCTGCAACTTCTGTGATTGCAGACAGCCATTCCCTCCAAGTGGTGTCAGCAGAAATATTTTGGGTTGGAATATTTCATTGAGAACTGGAAATATTTCAGACTGGTCGTTCACTTCCAATGCTGCTTTTCTTCTAAATTGTATTTAAATGTATGGTTTTGTTATTTAAAAAAAAAAAAAGCCATTCAACCAGGCAGCGCTTAAAATAATAGTAGTAATAAAAGAATAAGGCTGTGCTGGGAGAGTAAGATTTAACAACCAGATTCCAAAGGAGTGTACTCAGCTTATTTTCCACTTGGTGCTTTGGTGGTGGTTTAATTTCTCCTTCGTTTTTCGCCCAGTGGTTGGGCAGATTTATTTCACACACTATTTATTTGTGCTCTTGTCAGTCATCAAGCATTTGTCGTGCTGCCATCCATTATGGCATCCTGGATAACGAAGGAGGGCTGGTGGATATCACGAGGAAGGGGAGAACACCTGCTTTTGTGAAGTCCACCAGGAACGGCGTGGAGTCTTTTAGGTACTGCCTTCACCAAAAAGTTTGGTATTTGCTTTAAGCACCAAATGTATTTGAGTTCCAAACAATGTTGAATTCTCTTTGCTGCTCATACATAGGCATAGTGATCCAAGTCATTCTGCTATGCTCATTTTTTAACTATATTATTTTCTTTGCTTGTTTTGCAGGAAAAGTAAACCTTCAAACGCGTTCATGGTTTCCAAAGTCACGAGTAAGTTTCAGAGGTTGAGGGAAAAAAATATTGTTGCTGAAGTTTTGTGGGATATTTGAAAACATCACTCTTTTCAGTGTTCTTTTTGAGTGGTTGTGTCAAATACTTCTGTACCACAGCCAAACCCTGGAGTGGTGATCTAGGGTGATCTAGAACCCTGGAGTGATTGCCCACCCACTGTGGGCAGCACCACCACCTCATTTTTTCTGTGGGTATTTCAGAGAAAGGTACAGAAAATTGTGATAATGGGCCATTTCCAGCAGCATCTCCTGGTGATGGATCATGGTGGGGTCGAAACTTGAGCTGCAGTGTCACAAGCTGCTGATAGCAAAGGGATGGAAGATGAGCCATCCACGTATGAAAACCTCAGTCTAGTGTGAACACTTCCAAAAACTGAAAAAAAAATAGTGGCTAATGTCCTAGTGCAATATTGTAATGGAACACATAATACATGTGAAATTAGTTTCTAACAGTGAGTCACCACATTTGTGATGAGCATATAAATAAATACTGTGGAGCTCCACTTTTTAAACAATTCCCACTTTCTGAATATCTTTAAAAAATTCCTCCTACACAGAATCATCACTTTGAATAGATCCACCTGAGCCATTTTCAGGGAGAGCTGTAGGGGTCAGGTTATTATATCTCCACACCTGGAGCTGTAGCAAAAACACATGCTGGGGATCGGCTGCTTTTCCCTTTTGAAAGCTGTGACTTTTTCAAGGCCACACTGTATTATGGTGCCAGGAATCCTGCTGGAGAGCTGGTCAACCCTCTCCTGAGTTTTTGCTGCCGGTGTGGGAATGAGCAGCTTTCCCCTTGGTGCCTTCAGCTGGGTCTCACCAGATATGTTGTGTGACTGTGACGTGTGTTTTCTGCAGCTGCCTGAGCTTTTAGGTCTAATGATTTGCCTCTCCCTGTTTCTCCTGGCAGCACAGACACTGGATTGTTACACCACGGTAGCTGAGTTGTGCCACTTCAAAAAGCCAGCGAGTCACTGCCCCAGGTAACACAAACCCATCCGGGTTCAGCTTAAACCTGCTCTGCTCCAAAGAGGGGCAGCTTAACAGGGGGTGCTGAGCTCCCTGAATCTGAGGGCTGGTGGGAATAGAGCTGATTTTACTGGATGAACTGGAGGAGGTTGGGATTGGCATGTTTCCTCCTGCCACCCTGCTTTTCTTGCCATCACAACAGAAAACTCATGTTATGTTTTCGGATCACTTCAGTAGCCTGTAAGTCAGGCTATGGGATCCCATCCCTGTGCACCCCAATGTGTGAGTGTGCAACTTCACTCTCTGCCTTTACTCTCTTGCATTTGCTGGTTTTGGGATGTTTTTTCTTTCTACTCTAAAACATGGAAGAATGTTCTAGAAAGCTGCTCTTTGCAGGTGTAGGTTGTGGCAGGGCAGGGGAGCACAAACATGCAAAGACTTACGTGCACAGCATTGTGCAAAAATGCAGGTGCTCCCCTTTGAAAAGGTCATAAAAGACCAATCCCTCTTTTACTGGTCTAAATCCCTTTATTTGCAGTTCTGCTGTAACAACCAAATGTCATCTGAGGGGAACAAATGATTAAATTCACTGTTGCCACCTGCAGACCAGATGCAGGCACTTGAAATGTCCCAGGAATGCAGCTCGCTTTCCTGTTCAGCCTTGATATGGAGAATAAATATGAATAACTTGTTTTCTAGGATTTATTGTCCAGCCCACTGTAAAGATGAGCCATCGTACTGGGCACCCGTGTTTGGCACCAACGTTTATGCAGATGTGAGTATGATCCTTCCCCTCTGACCCTGTGTGTGGTGATATCTGTGTCACAGAGCTGGGGTCATGCTCTGGGATTTAGGGAAAAAAAGCCAAACTCTCTGTGATCATTGTGGAGGTGGGTAAATGGGGGTGAAGGCTGAGGTCAACAAGCTTGTGCAGCCCTTCTGCTCTCCAACACTGACTTATTCTTAAGGATTTGAACATGTCTCTTAACAACTCCATGATTTATGGTCAACAGGTTTGGAGAGCCCTTCTACCCTTCGACACCAACTTACTCTTAAAAACTTGGGCATGTCATTTAACCATTCCCTGCCTTATGGGCTCTGGCTGTGAAGTCATGGCAGCACTTGTCCACCTTTGCAAAGCACTTTGGGATCTACAGCTGTGCACCAAAGGGCTTTTATTATATACTATCACACTATAGAGTTGGCAAAACCAGGCTTTCTTTCCCTGCCCCTGTCCACTTTTTGGGAGCTGAACAGCATTTCTGACAGAGCTCAGAGCAGTGGAAAGAAGGCATGTGATCTGCTTTTATGGGTTTGTTTTTCTAAACTCTGGTCCTGGGGATGAGCAGAGGCTTGATGCTAAAACTAGGCAAAGAGGCAGTTTCTTGAAATCTCTTAATAATAATCTCTAAAAACTGGGTCTCAATGTTTTTCCATTTGCGGGTGCCTGGTTGTTATGTTTTTCTCCTCCTTTTTCTTTTTGCCATTGGATATTGTGTCCAGAAATTCCAGCTCCCTGGCAGCTCTGTGCCCTGTAGGAACATGTATTTTCAAAGCCCCGGGGGAAGCAATCAGCAGCTTGTGGACCCCCAGCTTGGGGTCACCTTGGAGCTTTCCAGACTCCTGAGAAAAACCACCCTGCAGAAATCGTACACTAATTTGGGGAAGCAATTTTGAAAGCAATTTTTTCAAAAAACCCACTATTTTTTTTTTATTTTGCCTAAGACCCATTTTTTAAAGGTAGAGCTGCACAAACAGGTTGTCCTGGACTGGCTCACAGGCAAATCCACCAGGCAGCTGCTGCCCTGCAGTACCTGCCTCCCCGTGTGCTCCCACCTGCAGGAAATGGGAAATAGTTTTCTCTTTTTTACTGAGGACAAAACTACCTCAGATTACCCCTGAATTACAAGGGTATTAGGGGAGGAGCAGCAACCCAGGCTGGCATTGCACTGACGCAAAAGGATTAGTGTCCTTTAATGAACCACGAGCTCCATTTCCTATCGTCCCTCCTGGATATTGTTTCATAAACGGGGGCATGGATGGTGATTTGGGAGAAAAACAAAACAATAATAATAGAAAAGAATTTGGCCACTTTCTAGAGGGTTTGGTGAACCTTTTTCTGGACTACTGGACTAACAGGGTGATGTGGGGGTGCTAAGAAAGCATTGAGGTGGTCACGAGGGTGTGAGGTTGGCAGAAAAGCAGGGGAAACCAGCTGGGAAAAAGAGCTTGAGGTGGCTCTGAGTGGGGCTGCAGAGGGAGAGGTGTTGATGCTGGGATTGCTTAGGCTGGGAAACTCAGAAGAGAGACACCATGCCAGGCAGGAGGAATTTGGGGAAAGGATTTCCCAGGGAGCAGGGGCTGTGCAGGATTCTCTGCAGCGGGAGATGCTGGGAATTAACCCAAGCCCACTGCTGAGGAATAATTAAAGCAGGCAATAAGCTGGGTGAGGCAAGTGCTGGTTCTGGGAAGGGCTCTGGGAAGCCAACTTCATGTCTAGTGTGGTGTCTTCATGGCCCTGGGGGGACTTGTGCTCCAACTCTGTCATATTAAATAAGTTATCTAAAAGAAAATGGAGCATTTGGCCCCATTTTCAGTCTGCAGTCCCTGCAAGGTGCCCTCTGGTCTTTTAGCACCTTCTCTAATACATCAGTTCACTAAATACTCAGGCTGATAATCAATCTGAGCTGTGATGACACAAATGCTTGGCTGGTCCATGGAACACCAGAGTTCAATGTGCTTTTGGCCTAAGATAGTGTTCACATTTATTTAGTGTTCACATTTCACGTTCCATGATCCCTGGAAGATATATAAAATTTGTTTTGCCATGAAGAAAAAAAGCTGTGACATGAGGAATTGATGGCTTTTATGGATAATTCTGATTTTTATTCAGGGAGATAGGAGACCCTATCTTGGTTTGTGTAAAGCGATTTTTACCCAGTCTAAAAGCATTCTATTGAGTTTTTGGTTTATTTATCAGTATAAAATTATCTTGGATTGCGAGTTTATACATGGGTGCTTGTGATGGCTCAAAAGGTAGAGAGATATTGGCAACCTCTGCTTTAAAAACAGTGCAGGGAGTTGTTCATGGGGAAATTAGGCTGTGGAACACGGACATAGAGGAGACTTAAATTTTGGGTTTAATGAACAAAATGCAAGAAATATGCAATGGTAAAAGTGGACAGGCCTGGTTCTGGGGTGATCACAGAATCATGGAATGGTTTGGGTTGGAAGGGACCCAGTGTTTCAACCCCCTGTCATGAGCAGGGACACCCTTCCACTAGACCAGGTTGTTCCAAGCCCCGTCCAACCTGGCCTTGATGCTGGAGCCGTGTGAACACCCACGGATCCTTCTAAAGGTTGTAAGAGAGCTTTTGGGTTTCATGAGATGCTGTGATTTGTCACTCTGCCTGGCTCCTGGTGTGCCATGGGCCTGAAGGGAAACCCATCCCCATCCCTGCCCAGGATGGGCATGGGAGCCAGGAAAGAACGATTCTCTGCTTTTCAGATAAGGCCTTTTATCCACAGTTATGCAACAATTGATCAGAGGAGGATGGATCCACCCGCGTAATGAGGCAGGTGTTTGGCACCAGAGCAAACCAAGCTGGGAGGCTCAGCTCTCAGAAGATACAAACTCAATGATTAAACCAATCACACTGATGAGGAAATTCTGGGTGATTAAGCTCATAGTCACAGAATATTGTTAATGACAAGGTGCATTGTCATTTTATGGTGGGTGCTCTGGAGTCCACTCTGTCAGAACATCCCGAGGGGCTTCACTATGGAAAGTCACTGTGTTGTCCATACAGCTGTTGTACTCCTAAATTTGGGCAGGAAGGCCTTATTCTTGTAATATCTCATCTTCCAAAAGCTCTGCAATCAATTCATCAAAGCACAGCCCGGCCTGGGATATGAGAGGGCTCTAATGCAACAGGGTGATAAGAGGAGGTTTGGGGTAAGGCAATAAAAAGTCTGTTGGTCAAAGCTTTGAGTAAGCAGCAGAACAGCAAGTCCTGGAAAAAAACCAGGAACGCTTTGAACATTGTTTAGGATGTCTCCCAGTGGAGAGGGTTGCAAATTGATTCAGGACAGTTTAATTTTTATGAGCCAGTTTTAGATTTACAGATTTCCCATCGCATTCTAGGGCGGATTCGCTGTGTATCTTCCAAACACAGTGTTCCCTTGCTCCTCTGACCATATATAGAAACAAAATACCAAACTGGCACTCAGACCTCAGAGAGCTGCCAAGAGATAGGCCATCCAAAGTGAAAAATATATAGGGGACGAGGCAAAGCTGCCATATATGGCTGTGAGAATGAAACAGCACAGTCTGTATTGTACATACAGTTTGCCCTTGGCACTGTTTTTGTGGTACTTGGATTTTTAGCCATCAGGGAGGGTCTGGGGTTGGGATTTTCACCTGCTGCAGTCCCCTGTGTGAAGCTGGATTTTGCTTTGTGTTATTCCAGCTTGCTCTATGTAAATCCTCTAGAGCTGATGGCCAAGTTTATACTGTGCCTTAGCCTTCTCTGCTTTTGCTCTCTTGTTCTGGATGCTTTGAGAGCTTAGTCATCAGTTATTAGTGTTTTGTATTCCTCCAGCTCTTCTGACTCTGCACATCTTGGAGAGCAGGGGAATGATGTGCAATAGAGGAGCTTTAGCCTTTCCAGAAGTGTTAATCTCCCTCCACACTGGATTTTGTCTTACAGGGTAATGCCTGTCCAAAAACTACACCACTCAATGGGTGCAGTCCTTCTGTTTTTCCTAGAAAGAAGGATTTGAACTCTCCTGGATAATTAGTGGTCATTTACCTTAATTCAGGAAAAGAGTTTCTTTTTCAAGCAACTGTGTGAATAAACTTTGCTGAGGTGGCTGCTCTCTAGCAAAGAGTTTCACCGCAGTGGTTTCTCTGGTGCAGACCCAAGAGGCCCTGGCTGGAAAGTTGTCCTCAATTCAGCTTTGGCCCTGGATAAGAAGAAGAAGTGTGGATTTAGATTGGATATTAGGAAGAAATTCTTCCCTGTGAGGGTGGTGAGGCCCTGGCACAGGTTGCCCAGGGAAGCTGTGGCTGCCCCATCCCTGGAAGTGTCCAAGGCCAGGCTGGATAGATCTTGGAGCAACCTGGGATAGTGGAAGGTGTTCTTGCCCATGGCAGGGGTTGGAATGAGATGATCTTTAAGGTCCCTTCCAACCCAAACCATGCTGTGATTCTGTGATAGTCTCCCAGGTGCAGCTCCACCTCAGAGAGGACTGATGGAAAGATTGCTTGTCCTCTGCAGTGATGATGGATCTTCTTACAACCAGGGCTTAGGAAGTACCTGCAAAACCTGCTCCATGACATCTTTTATCCCTAGTTGGTCCAAAAGAGGGACAGAATTGTTTCATAACTGTTTCTTTTTTATTCCCTGGTTTTCCTTGGTGTTTATGGAGATAGTAAATATCCATATAGAAAATATGGACAGCGTGTAAGTCAAAATAATTAAATATTTTTCAGAGCTCCAGTATCTGCAAAACTGCAGTGCATGCAGGAGTCATTTCAGATGAAAGAGGTGGCTTTGTGGATGTGATGCCTGTAGAAAAGAAGAAGAGTTACGTTGGCTCCTTAAAGAATGGCGTCCAGTCGGAGAGGTGGGATTTTTTTTCCCTTTGTACTTTCCTCTTATTTTCCACACCGAGTTCCGTGGCACGTTAAAGTCAGCAGATATCAGCTAGGAAGGCTGGTGGATTGGAAATACATGACTTAAGAGTGTCACTGAGGATTTGGAGCCCCAAACAAATAGAGCATGTTGTCCTGCTCTCACCTTCCCTGAGTGAGGAGCTGCCCTCGGATCCGTGTGAAAGATGGGAGATATTGCTAAGCCTGGTTTGATTTTCTTACAGTACAAGTCCACATTAATACATTTCGCTGTGCCTTTGACACATTAAAAGATAGGCACAGGTATTTCTTCAGCTTTCAGCCTGGGTCAGGTTTTCAGGCTTATAATTGGAATTTTCATTCAATTCTGGGGTGGGGGATGCATTTCTATATGTTAACTCATGTCCTCTATCCTTTTTGAAAGAAATGTGAGTAAAGTAATGCTTTCAGAGGTGATCAAACACTTGTTGAAGATGGATTTGCCATCCTTGTAATTTTTTGTAGTTTCTTTTGGGCCAACTTTGCCACTGGTTGGCAAGTTGGTTGCCAACCTTGGCCACTGGTTTCAGTGACCAGTTGCAAATCACTTCCAAAATCCTGCACCTCCTGGTGATCAAGTCACAGCTCATTCAGTCCTTTCTAATTTGAAACTTCTGTTTCAACCTGTGATGCTTTTTTTTTTTTTTTGTCAGATATTGGGGTGATGGTACTAATTTCTCAAAGCTATTCTTGCAAGTATAGAATTTCCCACTATTATGGGGGTTTTTAGTCACTATTAACTTTGCCTGCTCTGTGCAGTTCCATTTTTATAAATACCATAAGAAATCCTATCAAATTTTGCTGGTTTTATTGTACTAATGGATATCCCAGAATGCTGTGAAGCATCTCAGGAAATAAAAATAGATTAAGACAAGAAAGATTTAGGCGTTAAACATGTTTTTTTTTTTTTTTTTAGTATAGATCTATCAGGGTCAGCATTTTGCAGTTCTGTGATTTGCAATTCAGTACATTGGATTTAGGTGAAAAACCTCCTGTTCCTGTGAAGTGTTTTTGTTTTTGTTTTTGTTTTATTTTATTTCTGTCTTGTATGCACTTATATTTTATATTAACAGATAACTTTTTACTTGGATGGCAAACTGTGCCCTAGCTAAGAATAAATCCCACCACTAGCAGGGATATGCAATATGAGCAGCCAGTGCTGATCTGGGAGGTGAGGGAAACCAAAGACGTTCTCGCAGCAGGGATGACCAGGAAGATTTGGAAAGTGTTATTTACACTCAGCAATAAGGAACAGCTTCATGGTGTGAGATCCACCAGGCTGTGAGATAGCTTTTCAAAGATTAAGGTGAAAACTTTACCCTTTAGGACACTGCAAGTGACCTTTGGTAAAGATACACACCCATACAGGTATGGGAAAAATTACTTTTAGGATCTACTGAGTCTTTATCCTTGGTGGAATGTTTATTTTGCGGGAATATGCAATTTTGTCATTTTCCTGGGGTTTTTCAGCCCAGCAGGGCTGAAGAAATAGGACTTGGGAATAGAAACACCCTCTTGCCCCCGTGCACACAATGACACTGAATTAGAGTGGCTGGAGACACTTCTTCAGATTGAAAATAAATATCCATATTTATTGTCATTTAACTTGAGCTGATTGGGCTACTCCCCTTGTCAGCACCAGGAGACAGGCCAGACAGGCTCTGGAAACCTGCCAGCCTGTTTGACAAGTTTTTTTGGGAAAACATATTGCTCTTCATGCCTGAATCTCTGCATAAGGGAGCACAATGTTCCTTGGATAAAAGCTAGGGCTGTAAGAGAGGCTGTCACCTTCTAGCTCCTTTTGTTGGCATTAGCACTATAGATTAGGTGAAAACATAAACCAAATGTGAAATCATGGATTTGTGCCTCTTCTTTTTCATCTTTTCTCTCTCTCCTTCTCCTGGTAGGAGTGAGATAGGAGAAATTTGGAGTCGCCTCTGGGTCGATTGCACTTTGGGTGTTGCAGTGTATTCATTTAGTTCATTCTATGTGTTTTTTTTTTTCTTTTCTTTTTTTTCAGCTTGAAGAATCCTTCAGATGGCAATGCCTTCCGAATTTTTGCTGTGAAGCAGTAAATTCCCAGGGAAGGTGCAGGTTTCTTTGGGAGAGCGCTCTGTCGACCTCCGGAGACGCGAAAGCTCCTCTGACGGCATCAGCTCTGACCGTACCCTCCTTGCCGATCTCTTTCAGGGAATTCTAAAAGAAAAGGGACACATAAAAAAAAAAAAAAAAAAAAAAAAAAAAGACCCCAGGTTCTGACTCAGCTGTTCTGACTCAGCTGTTCTGACTCAGCTGTTCTGACTCAGCTGTTC